TGGCTGGAGCGGAGTCCTAAATTGCTCACCACATGACTGATGGATCTAATAGGACAACCTGAATCACCTTGTTGGTGGCATCTCAAGTGTGGTCCTGTCTGGGATCTGGAAGGCGTCTTCTTGTGGACAATACAGACCCTCTGGTCAGTCAGGATGCTTCCTTCTCTGCCAGGAATTCTGTCAAAGACCTGACAAGTGCTGTCACAGGCCCAAATCATGAGGATCCAGGCCACCCACTCTGCCCATCACCACCCTGTACTGGCTCCAGGGAAGTAATCAGTACAGTCACCGGCCATTAGTTCAGCTGCAAGAGCTGATGTGCCTTGTGGATATGCCATGACACAGAGGTACATCAAGGGACTGTGAGCCACTGGGAACTCCAGCTGGCATCTGCAAGGGTCTCTAGGCTGGTTCTGGCAGGGCCTTCAGACTGGTGGTGGGCACCTGCAAACTGAGACAGACAGAGGGGAGGCTGGCCAGGCTGTGGACACCTCTATCACTAGGACTCCATATGCCCCTGGCCTCAGTTCCCAGCACTGGCAGAGATGAGCTCACTGTCCATTTGCAGAGCCCAGGATTCAGATCTTCTGGAGGCAGGGGTCAGCTGCCTTTGGCATTACCTCCTGATAATCAGTTGCATGACAACAGAAGAGGCCTCTTCACCAGATCTGTAGGAGCAACAGCAGAAGAGTGTTTTGACACACCAAGCCCCAGCCACAGGGAGGGGTCAGAGATGAAGCCCAGCATAGCAGAATGTAGTGATGTCTTCTTGGAGTGGGTGGGCCTCTGGCTACCACTCCCTACCCTGTATAGTTTTAGATGCTTTGCAAGAATAGGAGGTGCCAGGAGCCGCTCCCGATGGTGGACAGGTACAAGCAGAGGATATAAGAAGCTGGTGAGGGAAGGGAATGAGCCAGGCCATGATGGTCTGGAGAATCTTGCAGCCTGACTGACTAGCAGCCAGAGTGCTTCTTTATTTATGCAGAATTTAGTAATTAGGGATACATTCATGTTGTTCCAAAACATAAATCATATCATTTTTGTTTTCGGCTATGTGCTTTACTTCCTTTTGCTCATCTTGTAGTCATTGGTAATAAGCTCACTTCATTTTGCCCATCTTTTAGATATCATTAATAAACTATGACAGAATAGAGTTATCATCTCCAGTCATTTTCCCTCAAGTTTTGACACCATTGATAAACAGAATTATCATTTTTACTCATTAACCCCATAACCCAACTTCGAAGAGTCTATTGAAGAGTCTAGAGGCATATAATAAGTTATTCTCAGGCTACAAAGACATTTGACCAAAACAGTTTTCAAGGACAGGCATGGTGCCATGTCCCAAACAGTGTAGTATTAACTCTCAATGGTTAGAGTGCCCAAGAAATAGCCTCAGGCCAAAGCAGCTGCAGTTATTATGTAAATTCTGTCATAATGTTTATATTTTATATCTTTATAGAATACTTTTATCATCTTTCTACATCATTCTTTGCCCGTCAGTATAAGTCTCTTTGTAGGGCAGAGGTAGCTTCAGCTAGTCTACCTTGGTTGCTATATTTGTCATGTAATTGCCTGGGTTTATAGTGGGAAGAGACTGCAGTCTGAACTGTGGCCAACTCCTCTAGCCCACCAAATCTTGTTGACCTTTTAAAGTTCATTTTGTTTTGATTATCTTGTTCCTGAGTAAGTACAGGGACAGATGTCTCAAAAATATCTCACAGCCTCATAAAGAGACCTCTGCCTTCTTTATGCGTGCCACAGCCTCCAAGGTGTCAGGAAAACATTCAAGTAGATCAGAACATCTCACTAAAGCAGGAGGGAGGATAGTATGCTCAGGATTGTCTTTGGGAAGCTTGGAAATAGTATTCCTGGGAGAAGACACAAATGATTCGTAAGTTTTCCATCAATTTAACATTTCCAAAATGTACAAATATTAAAAGTCTCTCAATATGTAGCAGGTGGAGATAAAAACCAAAGTTGGTATGGCGACCATCATGTGACTCAGCTTTGCTGGATCTTTGTCAAACAGCTGTGCTGGCTTTATGACTTCTGCCATCCCTGTCAGATAAGGCTGTGCCAAGAAAGCCTTCGGGTTGGCTGTTGTCCAGGGTGGAACACGAGAGGAGAGAATCTGCTGCTGTTTCAGGCTACTGCAGCCAAGGGTTGCTACCCTGTATAGAGAAAAGCTACTGTCTCAGGGAGGCAGTGCTGCCCAGGACAGAGGTGGCACTTATGTTCACTGTTTAAGCAGGGTGGAGTCAACAAGATCCATCACATCACAGACCATCTTTTTAGAACTTCATACCTCAGTGACAAGATCCAGAGATTTCCACAGCTCATCTATATGCACAGGCATCCTCATGGTGAGGAGCAGAGCACATTGATTCCACGGAATGTTCACATTGGTGCTTTTTCCCTTGAGCCCATCACATCCACAGAACTCTCCTCTAGAGCTAGGATCTTCCCAGACAACAGCTCTCTCTGCACAAGGTGGTGTCCTCATGGCTGCAATGACCTGCGGTAACCTTCATTTCTCTTCTCTCGTGTTCGATCTAAAGGCCTCTATTACTGCGAAGATGCTGGTATGATAGGCATGCCATGCAGAGACCTGGCCTAAGGAACACCTATACTAGGTCCTACGATGCTGGGACGTCAGCCCTGGCCTGCGGCTTGTGTGTATGCCCCACTCCAATCCATACCCACCCAACTGCATACCTGGGTGGGTGAGGTACCTGGCTTGCCAGAAGTTCTCTGTGTCTGATACAATGCATGTCACATTGTGAACCTGTGGCTGTGAGGGGTGACAGCGTTAGCAAGACTCTTACCCTGCAGCAGCTCATGAGATGAGCATTGCTATCACCCTGTATCTGAGCATAGGATCCATGGGTTTGCCTAAGGATCGCACATCTTCCATGTGGGTAGTGTAACAGATGACCCTGTTGAGACGGGCTAGTGACTCAAGCTTGCAGAGGGAACTGAGCCCTCTAGATTGCCACAGAGAACTGTTTGGGGTTTGCCAGTGTGTCACCTGGCGACTAGTTTAGCCTCTGGAAGAACCCATGTGAAAGGAGGCATCTGAAAGGTTGTGGGAGATCTTGATGTACACAGAGAGCTGGGCTCAGGAGCAGTCATGGGAGGTCAGAGCCTTTCTGCAGGGAGGGAGGTGGTCACCTCAGTATCTCTCTGACTAACAGGAAACAGGAGTTCTCCATTGGAGTTGGGAGACTCTGGGGTGCTGGTATCTAGAGTTGGGGAAAGTCTTCTGTGGGTGAGGGGTTGGAAAAAACCAACCCCTCCAAACTTTACTTAGCGCTAGGACATTTATAAAAGCAGGGTGACAAGTGAGGTTTGTTGTGTGGGACAACTGAGGGTTCTGGAAAGACCCGACACCAGTGCGGCATGCCATGCTAGATACCAAGCCAGTGCTCATATGCCTTTCCCTCTGGGCAAAATTCGAAATGAGCAAGCTTTGCCACCCACAGGGAGCACTCAACTTCACCTTTTATTAAAGGTACAAAGCCCACCCTAACACAAGAACCCAAAAACACGACCTATCTTTGCACTTGCCTCTGACTCATCCAGGCAAGCCAAGAGCCCCATCCCCTGGAAGACATCCAGTGGCTCTGAACAAAATAATTTGTTGGATAAGCAATAACAGGAGATCATAATCAGTTCCAGGTACAACAATACAAGCCTTGTTTCCACACTTCTATTTTGGGCTAATAAAAGCTCACTACAAAGAAGTCCTAATTATAACCTTGCAGTCTGGCGCGATCACAGATCAACTGGTAACTTTCCTTTTTCAGAATTCCGCATCGACATACAAGAAGCGAGGACGGTACATTGTCCTGAAATAGCTGGTCTATAAATAAAATCCCCACATGGGTTCAGCACCCCATTGTTGTCCCTTTGCACATTTCCCATTTGTTTGGAGTAATCTCTACTACAGACAGCCCTGTGAGAACCAAAACCCGTGTTAGCCCCAGAATGCTGAGTGCTCTCGGCACATGCTATACTTCCACAGAGTTTAGCTCTGTGTGTCTCCTGTGGGTGTACTTCTGCAGGTCTGACCAGTCTGTCCTCAGTGTTGTCTGTATGCCCTGACCATCACAGGCCAACATGACCTGAGAGCAGCCAAGACGGGGGTGGTATAGAGGGGTGACTGGTGCTGGCTCTGCCCCAGGAGCACCAACACAGCCTGTCATTTTGAACAGACCCTGTCACAGGCCTGACCATAGACAGATGTGGGACTTGGGCTGGGGAGAAAACCCTATGAGGGTAAAGGTCAGACTGAGCTCTGGAACGCAGGACAGGGCAAGGTCCCACTGTGTCCTCAAAGACAGGAGTGTTCCAGAAGCCTGTCAGTGAGGTGAAGCCAGCGTGAGGAATAATGGTAACAACTTCCATGTTCCTTCCAGACATGGGTACTTAGATGTTTGGGGAGACTTCCAGGTGCTTCTAGAATAAGGCAGAGCTATGAAAAGCCCCATCAGGAGCCCTGCCCCCTTAACAAGCATAGCTCAAGTGGTGCTTCAGAAGGGTGGGCCTCCCTTTCCCTCCTCTGTATGCTCTTCATGGTGTGGCCATTTCAGAGGCATCTCTGTGATTCTGTCCCAGCCATTTTCTTCTTGGGACTGGCGGCTGTGGACCAGGACTTTAATCTCAGTCTCCCCACAGAACATAGCAAAGTGACTTGTCTTTCAAGGCAAGAAAAGTCTCCTTTGCCAACTTAGCCCAAAGAGCTTTCCAAGACTCTGTTTCTTTTTCCACATCTTTTCTTGTTTATTGGAGACAAGGTCTCACTCTAATCTAAGACTCCAACCCTTGGCAGTCCTGTTGCTTCAGCCTCTCACAAGCCGGGATTATAGGCATGAGCCAGCAGATCTGACTCAAGATTCTTCTCTCTGTAAAGAGTGCTCTCAGGGGGATTTAAGGTTTCAGTGGGGACCAGTCAGATCTCCTCGGGCGTGGCTAACTCTGTATCTTGTGTCCCCAAGGACTGAAAGCTGTGAGAGCCCTGGACCAGAGGAGACCCAGCAAGTAGACAAGGGGCCACAGACGCCACCCCTACAGATTCTCCTGCCCCTGGAGGAGCGTGTGACCCATTTCCGAGACATGCTGCTGGAGAGAGGGGTAAGAACCCTGAACACCCGTGGGAAGATAGTGGGGAGGAGGAGGGCCCCTGGGGACCCTCGGGAAGGACTGGTCTTCCCCACTGTACCTGCACTTAGGCTGATGGGTGTTTAGGAGATGAAGGATTTGAGGCCTGAGCAAACCCCAGGAGGAGCTGCTTCTGCTTCCTTTCTTGAAGAGGGGGCTTTGCAAGGCATGGGCTGCTGCAAATGGTTGGAGGGACGCCAGCCAGTGTGGGAAAGACTTCTGCCATCCTCAGGCCAGGCTTTAGGGGCCAAACCTCAGGGATGACCCGCTATGGGTATCTTAACCCCACATGAGATCTCACACTTCTGGATTAATTAGACTGTTTTTAAATAAAGTGATTTCTGAATCTCGTTTTGAGTGGAGGAAACTGTATGCGAAACCAGGATTTTTATTTCTTACTTTGGCTTTTGGGCACAAAACTTAGCCAGTACAATATCGTAGCCCAGTTGGGTTTCTTCACAGAGTGCGGCAGAACACAGAAGGCAGTAATGAAGACTGTGTGAGGGTAATTGTAATGAATACGGTAATGGCCTTGTGAATCCAAAGCAAATTCCCAAACTCTGCAGTGGCATGCTTCTCCCTGCCAGGCTGTTTCCTGGAAACACCTTTGCCTTCTCTGCAGCAGATGCAGAGAGGCTGCCGAGCAGGGACTGGGGAGAGGGCAAGCGCCGGGTCATCACTCCCACGGCAGGCCAGGCCCAGCTGGACTCTGGGTGCTGGCCAAGGGAAGGAAGGATGTAGACAGGGACAGCGCCTCGTGACTTGAGCAGGAAAGCATCCTTTCCCACCTGCCTTTCTGGCAGCTTTCTCTCGTTTGGTATTATGAATGTGAGCATGTATACCTATTTATGTACCGTCATCTAGAAGCAAACCTCAGTTCTCAGTCTCAGACACTGGAAGGGCCAAGAATGAATCGATGCAGGCCACTCACTCATATCTATCCTAACAGTGGAACGGAGTGGTAACTTCATTGTGCAAGTCTTCAATTGGGTTCCTTCATTCGAACTTCTTCCTCAGTCTGCCCTGGGACACTCCATGTGGGCTCCTGATCCTGCCATGGTGCAACTGTTCTTTCCATACTAGATCCCAGGGCACCAGGATATGCTGGACCATTTCCCGGGGATTTCTGGAGTGTTCTATGGAGGCTGTTTAGGCTGTGACCGATATCTTACTCCTATGTGCATAACTGGCTCATGCAAGCACCAGAGGAGCCCATGGAGTGTGTGAGGAAGGGGTGTTCCCTGGAAGGGATGAGGTTTGCTTCCTGACTCTACACTCTTGCCCCAAGAGAACAGGAGTAGGATGGGGTGGGGTCCATCAGGGGAACGGAGCACCTCATCCATCTCCCCAGGGCTGAGTTCCTGTGTTTGGCTCCATGGTTCCAGGATTCCTTGAGATGCTCTCACGCCATTAGACCAGCTCTACCTCCTCCCTTACTCTGAACAGCCTCCAGCCAGGAAGATGATGCACGATCATTTCTGCAGGGTTCGAGCCAGCTGGTCCTGTGTGTCACCATGAATTATTTAAAGTTTTCCATTTACTTATTTTTTATGCAAGTGTGTGTATGTGTGCATGTGTAACACACAGACCCACAGAGTACACAGTAAACATGCTGAGGTTAGAGGACAATGTGAGGATGTCTGATCTCTCCTTCTGACTTGTGTGTCCTAGGGGATCAAACTCGGGTCTTGGGATTCCACAACAAGAACCCTTATCTACTAAGCCATCTCTCTGATTATGATCTTTTGAGAAGTCAAAGGGAGAAGTCCACTCCATCATTTTGCCTAACTTTCAACTTCAAGTTTTGGAAAGCATTGAGTCCAATGTACTGATGCAGTCTTCTGGCAGCTTGCAGGGATGGAGTGAGGAGCCAGCACTGCCTTCCTGGGCAAAGGAGTGGGTGGGACAAACTCATGGAGCACTGAAGGTCTCCAAAGGGCTTTGCTGAAGGGATTGTATGCTTAAGTTATCAGGGTGAGAGATTCAGTTTAAACTTTGCTTTTGAGATGCTTCTATAAAAGTCAAAAAGAGCAATAGGTGTTTGAGAAGCAAAGGGCCCGTGTTATGCTGATTGCAGAAGGTCCAAGAGCCCCTTCAGTTCTGGAGTAGCACAGGGCAATCTAAGCTTACAACACTGTCATAAAGCAATGCTACCGCCTGCAATACTCAGACTTTATAAAATATACCAGCCAATTTCATAAGTCACTCATGCTCATGAGAGTTTGATAGCTGAGCTCAGGAGACTTCCAGCTGCTTAAAGAATGAGCCGTTAGAAAGGTCACACTTTATGGACTGAGTGATTAACAAGATTTTTCTATTGCATTTGCTGACTACTTAGTTCAGAAACCTGTGTGCTCATGGAGTGATGAAGCCAGGCATGGAGGATTTCTAATATCTTCAAAAGACAGGACTTGGGTTTTCCCAGGGGATTATGGGCTAGGGAGGGGCTCTAGTTATGTGCTTTTGTAACCAGCAGGAAATGGCTCAATAAAGGTTTCTGTTTTATTTATTTAGTCCTTGTACGAGCACAAATCACAGGGGATCTTTTTTTTTAAGCTCTATTTACTTGAGTAGCAGGTTGCCAGATTTTCCCTTCCTGTTTAACTAAGTCCACGGGAGACAGGGTGTTGGGAGTCTCTTCCTGTAGCATCCTTGGTGCTCAGTGTTGCTTAGCCAGGACTGGAAAGGGAAGTCCTTTGCATTGTGTTGGACCCAAGCAATGCAGGGGCTCAGACTTGCCTCTGGGTACTCCCAGAATCTGTCTGAAGGAGTGGACCTTATGGACACTGGTTGACACCATAGTCAGCTCCAGGAGAGGCCCTGGAATTTGAGTTCACAATTATGTCAAAAACGAGAAAGAAATGATTAATAGGATACTCATTACATAGTGATCATTGATCAAACTGAACAGAGGGATCACTATGGAGCCCTTGTGAAGCCAGTGTGGAACAGACAGAGGCTCCTTAGTCAGTCAGCTTACAGCAGAGGGCACAGGGTACCCCTCCCAAGTGTCTGCGTATTGCTATCACCCTGCAGCCTGCTGCATGTCTGGTCCCTCTTCCTTTCCAGGGCACATTCACACATGACTACCATTCATTACAGATCTGGCAGCACCAGGATGGTGCCAAAAACATCGCTTATTATCACAGTCACAGGAGAAGTAGTCTGCATAGGTGGTCCTGAGGGCAGGAGCCTGTGCCAGCTACTGGTCCTTGAGTTTGGGGGCAGGGGGTAGCTGCTCTGTGTTCTTGGTACTGGTCTTAAGTGTCTTGGGCATGGGACATGCTGATAAAATGAAATGGCATAATGTAACAGAGAAGGAGGCTTGTTGGTTCCCAGCCCACTCAAAATAACCACACAGAAACCGTATTAATTAAAACACTGCTTGGCCCATTAGCTCTAGCTTCTTATTGGCTAACTCTTATATTAATTTAACCTGCTTCTATTAATCTGTATATCGCCACATGGCAGTAGTTTACCAGCAAAGATTCAGCACATCTATCTCAGGCTGCAGCGGCTCCCTGGTCTGTCTGTCTGTCTGTCTGTCTGTCTGTCTGTCTCTCTCTCTCTCTCTGTCTCTCTGTCTCTCTCTCTTTCTCTCTCTGACTCTGCCCTTCTTTCTCCCAGCATTCAGTTCTACCTTCCCTGCCTACGTAAATTCTGTCCTATCAACAGGCCAAGGCAGTTTCTTTATTCATTAACCAAGACAGAAGGACCTCCCACATCAGCATAGCCCATACTTATCAAAGAAAGTAAGAGTTGAATAGGCCAAATTGTTTGTTACTAAATCAATCAATTTTCAGAAGAGTTCTAAGAGAAAAGCAGCACAAATCCTACCCTAAAACAATTATTTACCTGCAGAGTAAACTTAATGTCATACCTTTCTCCCTAGAAATAGTTTTCAAAGGATCAGTGATGGCACATATGTGTCGAATATGCATGGCCCTTCAGTTCCAGCCCCAGCACCCAAAAATACAAAATAAAGCTTAAAGAGACTTTTAAAAAAATCAAGACTAAAGACTTTTATAGTATATCTGATACTGAGTTTCAATTGGACACAGTTGAATCAATTTCTCTTTTCAGTTAATACCATAAGATTCAACTTAATTTGCAAACATATGTACAAACTGTGTGTTCGTGTAAGTAGCTCATAATTAAATTAGTATGAACTATTATGAAATCTCTCTCATGTGTGTGTGTGTGTGTGTGTGTGTGTGTGTGTGTGTGTGTGTTAGGGGGTGAGTGCTAGAGATCAATCCCAGAACTTCACAAAATCTAACTTCACTCTACTTTGAGCTATATACCTAAGCCCCTAGGAAATACTTTTGATATACAATGGAATATTTGATGAAATACCACTTATTATCAATCTGGAAAGCTGGAATCCATTTGGTGTATTTTCCAATGTTGCTGTTTAAATAATATTCATTGACTCACACATATATGTGTGTGTGGGTATGTGTGTATCTCTCTCTCTCTGTCTCTCTCTCTGTCTCTGTGTCTCCCTCTGTCTCTGTGTGTGTGTGTGTGATTTATTTCCTTCTGAATATAAACATTTGACTTCTGCTATCACTTTGATTTGGAAGATGCTGTTCTAATTCAGTATAGTTTCCTTCCAGCAAAGTCTGAGAAGTCCCTATGGTTTATTTTGCCAGCTCACCCAATCAGCACTGAATAGCAGGAAGGTTAAACGTTTGCTACTTACTATTTTTTAAGCCCTCTTGGTCCATTTGTTTCTGTTGGCCTCTATGCCTCTCATCCCTATTCCCTGGATCGGCTGCCCTGGGATTTGGCCATGTAGTGCCTCATGTGTGACCAGGGCTTCTCTCTAGAAGAAATTGAAAACCGTTGGGGAACTGTGGTTACCTGCTCAGATTTCAAGATAGGATAACAATCTCTAATGTGAAAATAATCCTCAGATCAAATGAAGCAGCTGTGTGTGGAATAGCCATGTAAAGGTCTATTTATAAAAA